CAGAACTGGTGGTTGTTCAACCATTTGTTCCTCTGGTGTAGCTGGAGGTGGTGCTCAGGCTCTGCTCTGAATGGGCGGGTCTCATACTGAGATGCCTGAAAACCAAGTTTATCTCCAGCAAGGTCAGACTTGGAGAGGCCAAAAAAGGGTCCCTCTGCCTCACTCTGCCATGGGGTATGATCTGACTTGCCTTTCCATCATGAAGAAGATCCTGTTTACAGTATATTTTGTGGGCATCCAAAATGTATTCATATATGTTTCCCAAACAGTTTTCTTCAGATTTGCTGGGGAAGCAGATAGAAAACGAGTGTTCCTGTGCTATCAGGGCACTCCTAAGACTTACTGGCAGAAAAATAAGGCCTCACCTACAATTAGAAAAACCTCATAACCTAAGTAAATGTGTTTATTGACACACAGTGAGCATATTTTGTAATTCCATTATGAACAATCACCTGTGGAATTTCTGACATTTGCAGACAGAAAAGGCAACGAAGTCACCTACCCTATTCCTGTCACCTTTGCATCACAGTCAAGCATAGACTTTGACACCTCAAAGAGAGTGTTCATTTGTATCTTCCAATACCTAAAGGTAAAAGGTTTTACTAAGAAAGCTGTATGAGAAGAATATATTTAAACCAAAACAGAGGAGAAGATTCATGCTGTCTGCTATGCGTGTTTCAAGAAGCTTCTTTTCTGCTTGGGTTTAAATCTATAAAGACCGAAGGATTAGAAACACAGCCAGAGCCAACCAAAACTCGAAGATGGCACTTCGGTACAGGCCTTAAATTTTCCAATGGAAATAAAAGAGATAGAATATTTTGCTTATAAAAAATAGGCACTAAATGAAAGTGATTGGGTCCTACCACTTAATAAATTACCATCTGCTGAGGCTTCATAAGTTTGTGGGTGCATGCTCTTAGCTCTCCTTGGCTGTAAGATAAAAAATGTGTTAACTTAAACCACCTTCACAGAGACAAAGTGTATGTTGGATTTCAGTTCAGCAATGAGCATGTGTATGCTCAGTAACAGGTGGTACCTGTTAAAGTGATGAACTGTTCACAGATCTCAGATCATGCAGCAATAGGTATACTAGAAGCTAAAGACACAGAAAACTTTTACTGGGCTAAAAACTGTGTAGTTCTATTGATCTGATGCCAACTGAAGATTGAGTCTACTGCACTTAGAGAACAGATACCTACTTTGGCTTCTAAAACTAAAAAGTTCAAAGAAGTAGTAACTACACAACCTTTTTCTGGCTTTTGTTCTAAGACTCAGAAAAGTTGGTGAGGAGCAAATATTGAACACTTGGATAGAAACAGTTAGTAAGAAATTCTCAGCACAGGTAGAAAAAAAGAGGTTCAAACTTTGCTACCTTGGCTCATCTTACTCAGGTGGAGAAAATGAAAATGGAACAGGGTGAATGTGTGGGCATCCTTTGCAAAGACTTCTGGATAGCTTTCCATGCCCACTGAGAGAGTAATCTGTAAGGTTAACAATAGAACACTGATGATGAAATGCTCAGTTGGTTTGCTAACAGTAACCAGAGATGGCAAATGAGACAGAGGGATGGAGAGAGACAGTGGGATAAGAGTGACAAGTGGCAATATGTTGAGCCTGTTCTGTTTTTGCTATATATAGGAGATAGCAGTTATCTTACAGACGGAAATGTAGAACAAGATGTGCAGATTTGGAGATGATGTGGAACTGACAACCTGAGAAATACCATTTGTAAAGGAAGGAAGTTGAAGATGCTAGAAATCTGCCTTATGCGTAGGATATGAGGAATGAGCAGGCAGTGCAAAGCAAAGATGGAGAAACCAGAATATGGTGGTACAAACTGTGTTCATTTGCTCATTTGAAATCTTGATATTGTTGCAGGGCAATGACTGAGAAGTCAGAGGGAAGAAAGCCCAGGCCAGAATATATCACCAGGGCACATTGCAAAGAGCTAAAAATAAGAGAAATACCTTAATTTTCAGATAATAAAGAAAGTTTCTAGATTTGAAGAAGAGGTGAGTGAACATTCTTGGAGTCCTTAGTCACTTATGCAGAAATATGCCAAATGGTTTTTCCATGGTGGAAATTGTAATTAAAAGTGCAAGAGCAGTACTGCACTGGAGCAGCACCCTAGGCAGCTGGCACCAATACCTGACAAGAAGCTAAGAACATATTTCAGCTAGCCACAACGGGAACCTGAAGTTGTATAGCTAATGATTTCAATGCTTCTTCTTGAATTTTAGGACATTTTTCACCTACAACAGTCCACATGTAAAATATCCTGCATGTATTATTCAGCTGTAGAAACAGTTAGAGTTCCCTTGAGTATGTATATGCCATTTGTACAAACTGTGTGTCCTGGCATAATTTATTCTGACTCCACTGTCTTGAAATCACAGCCGTTATTCCTCTACAGCTCAACAAATCTGAAGTGTATCTAAGGCTTCAGATGCAAAATTTTTGAAATGGGGAGAATACCACTGGAACGTGTATGTGATCCACTGATGGATACACCCAGCCTACAAAGTTCTCTCATTCATAATATAGGGAATTGGGCTCAGACACAGGGCCTGGAAACTCCCAGGGAGACTCAGCAGGGGCACTGAAAAGGAGTATGGAAGCAGTCAAGCCAGCTGCCTGCTGAAGATGCTGAAGAAGGTGAATGAGTTTTGCAGCAAGAAGAGTATTAATGACTGAGCTGTGATAAGGCAAAAGGAGAGCATCGGCCTAGATAGAAAGAAGAGCCAATGAATCTTCTGTAAGGCTATTTTCATAAAATATTGACTATGCTCATTTGGATGCTGTCCAGCCATCCTCACAAATGAGCGCTCTCCATTGACACTCCTATGACAGTCATATTCTGTGCCTCCTACTCAGCTTTTCTCAGGGAGGTCATGGCAAAATGAGGCTGAAAAACAAGAAATCTACCATATCCTGAGCTGAGAGGAGCAGTGCCAGGATCAATACAGCATGAAACAACCATTGGATATGGCCTAACCACAGTCTTTATAGCCTTCATTGCAAACTTTCTCTGTGGTTTGAATTATCCCTGGAAGTGAAGAAACAATTTCCTTGTTGTTACAAGCAATACCCATCAAAGCTATTTTAATGCAGAAAAACAAAAGTGGGAAGGGGGTTCTGAGGAGCAAATGATATGAACTCTAATCGCATGTAAAAATAAGTGAATTGTTGCTCTTATCACTGTGGATTTGGGGTCCTCACATATTCCTATAATCTTCAGTGTTTCATGGGCAAATATCCTACCAAACAGTGTGTTTAGTACAACATCACAAATGGCTGTTTTCCGTCCACAGAAGTTTTGTGTTTTATGTTTCATATTTTACATAAGTTCTGTCTGGATTTATCCCATTTGCTGTCCTCAGAAAGCTCTCCCAAGATCCTGTTCCCCAGTAATGCAGCTAACAAATCAGAGACGTGTCATACTTTCTACTCAATTAAGAACATAAAACCAACCCTCATGCATGCAATATCTAGCTTTTTGCTGAGACTGGTGCTGAGCATTTCATACAGATGTTCAGGAAAGACTACAAAGGCAGCTACAGAATAGAGTCTTCATGAAAGGCATTCCCTCTCAGTCTTTCTTACTCAGTGACACATAATCAGCATTTGGATTTATTCAGGTTTTTTTTAAAAAGAGGAAAGCTGCAGCAATCTATGTGTGTTCTCTTTTACAGAAATGTGGGCTTTTTTTGGACTCTCTGTCACAAAATGAAATCTTTCAGCAGTGAGAAATATTGAAACACTGAGTGACGTGCTTAATGCCCATCCTGTTCTTTCTTCCCTGTAACTCTCCTTGGGACCCTGTCACCAGCTAACTGTTCTCCATCTCTGAAATATTAAATAACAAAATGGAGATATGAAAGGAGGAGGATGCCGCTCCAGAGACCTGGCTAAACGGAGAGGAGTAGGACCATGAAAGTTAACATGGCAGGGCAGCCAGATTGGATGCAAAATATTTACAGCTTTATAACCACCTTTAGCTTTGGGATGGCCTAATTTATGCTGGAAGCATTATCTTTATGCTCCATATGTACATCATACATGCTGCAATCCAAGGACTGCTCTTCTTCTGCCACTGACCCTTTCAGTGCCATTAGCTAATTTGCTTTTCCTCACTGGTTCTTCAATCAAATTGTGTTCTTGTAGAGTATGATCCTTCTTTAATGTCTCAGTATCATGAAGTTGACTTAGTGAGGACTTCTAATGTCATGACATAATTAACGATAATAAAACATAACTAGCTTAGAACAATCAAGCAGTTTTCTTACAGTCTTTACATTTTCCGTTTCATGATGGTCTGAGAGATTTTCTTGGTTTTGGGGAAAATAGAAATGGATTTGTAATGTCATGGCTGGAATATGTTTCAGAAAAATGTAAACTTACAAAAAAAGCTTTTAATATCACTTCATGTTCCTGTAGTCTGCCAGTCTTATAAAAATCTAGTTCTGTCTAATTTTTTCCTACAAACCAAACTATTAAAAGATATTTTTGCTGCTCCTCTGCACTACTCATTTGTTTGCACACAAAGATTATTTATAGACTTCTTTTTTTAGCTGATTTAATTTGTTAAAAAAATCTAGTTGACTGTATAAGAAAAAGAGACCAATGTACCTTTGCAAATTCCTTTGACCTGTTTTACAGAGTGATATTAGGCTAGGGTCTACAAAGTTCTGTAATCCATACATTTGTTTCTCATTATTATTCTAACTTTGCTTGCTTATATTATCTTTCCAAAGCTACTGTTTCGTTTGCCTTTTAGCAAGGGAGACTTCACCTTTCCAAAGTATCTCATCCCCATTTTTACTAGGTTTCTGTTCTCATGCAACCCATTATTTTCAAAGGCTTTCAACAAGCAGAAGAATATCACTATGCTCAGAGTAGACATCCGAACTGGTCAGGAAAATGATCCCTGGGGTTATATTTGTCCATTTTCAGAGACTTTGCAGAATGGATTTATAGTATAAGAAAATCTCCAAGCTCACCTATGCCTCAGGCATTCAGCATTCACCAAGGCACTGATACTCTTCTTGTTCATGTGCTCGTATTCTCGTCTTTCATATAAATGCATTGTTACACATCTCTACAAAGAAGACAATACAACAAGACAAGTTGTAGCCAGTAGTCACGGTGATGAGATTATTTTGAACTGCCTTTAAAGATTCTTGTGTTAATGACTGGCAAATAGTTAGGTCTTCTTAAAAGCCTGGTTCCATTACAATGTAATGGCAACTGCGAAACATAATGGTTTCCAAATAAGCTCTTACAAGACAGGACTTGTGGTATCTCAGATATACAGAGTTCACCTATCTTTACTTCTTAAAGAATGTACAAATTCTGCAAGCTCATAGTCCCTTGTTAATTATACTCTCTGTTTATATAGCAGCTCTATCTCAAAGCTCTCTCCAAACATTAAGACTCCTAGCATTCTTTTATGTAGGCATTATTATCCCTGTCATTATCATTATCACATTTTCCATTTTATAGGTGGTAAATGAGCAAAATCACACTGTGAGTCAGTAGCTGAACTGGGAATAGAATATTGTAGTCCTGACTTTGTCCCTTCCTTTAATTACTCATTATTATGATTGTTATTTGTGTGTTGAAGTGATTTTGTTCAGTGTAAGACATCAGTAAATAAGCAGGATTCTTTTGATTTGCAAGATTTTTGTTTTTATAGTTTTCATACTGATATTTTTCTGCTGTTGGTCTCGTTTTAAGTGGCTAATGAGAAATGCTGCCATCTTCCAATTAAATAGCATCAATAAATTTTAATATGATACAGTTTACATCATAGACTAGAACAGGTCAGATGAAGCTTAGTCTATCAAGCGATGAAGTATTCAGGTATTTAGGTTGTGTTCTAATTTAGTCATAGTAAAAATCATTATGGAAACCTATGGAGAAATGTACTTTTGTAAAGTAGCTTGTTTTTAAATCACAGTTGTTATCAATTAGTCTTTTAATGTGAAAATACCATATGCAATTACTAAATTAAGTTAAAGCCAATTGTTCTTTTTTTTCTTTATCAGAACAAATTTTGGTTGATTTGAAACACACAATTGTGTTCTGTTGAAAGTAATGACAACTTTGGGAACTAGACAGTTAATCTCATTTTGTCCTTTTCCAGGACTGTTTTAATCTAGAAAGGCAATCTAACCACCTCATTGTTTTAAACATAGGTAGCTTAGCTTCCAAACATCTCACTAACCAGCATCCCATTCCTCTGTTTCTCTGTCATAAGAAATAGTAGAAATTTATTTCTCAAATGTCATCAGAAATAGTAGAATAAAAAATAAAGATTGTCATGAGTGGTTATGCAGAAGACCATGAGGTGCAGTCCTGTGAGAAACTGAAGATGTCCTCAGAAGTGAAACCAAGGTCCTCCCATAAAACAACTGTAAGACACTCAATAACACATTGTGATTACTGAAATAGTGGATTCCCTTCTTCCTTCCCTTTCACTTATCTTTCTCCTTTTCCTCCTCTTTTAAATAAGAAGTTTGAGGAAACCTTTGTCTTTTCTTTAACTACTCTGTAAAAATTTTGTCCTCTGCCAATGGTCTGCTAGATTACAGGTGCATAAGTCAGTTCTTGGTGAATCGCTGTAGAAATCCGTACTTCCTTAGAAGTCTATCTTTCCAAGGAAATAGATCCCTCAGATGAAAGTACAAAGCCCCCTTTGCTCCCTTCTACTTGCCCCAATTATAAAACAAAAAATGCTTGTTGGTTTCAAGAAACAAGATCACTTTCAAGGTGATTTGAATGCTATGTCTGCGGATGCAGCAGTCAGTCATGTACACAGTCTTTATACATCTGACAACCGTGGAAAAGAAAACCTAGTTGTGCAATTTGTCTCATTAGTTTTATGTAAACCTAACAAGGCTGCAATTCCCAGCATTTGTTCTGTTCCATGTTGGCACTTTACAGTCTGATCTTTAATTCATTCTTCTTTAATGACCTATCTCAAAAAGGGAAAAAAAGTCCCTTCCCTTCCCTTCCCTTCCCTTCCCTTCCCTTCCCTTCCCTTCCCTTCCCTTCCCTTCCCTTCTTTTTTCCAGTCATTCCTTAACTTAACGGACCTTCCATTTTCCTTACTTACTTCCCTTCCCTTCCCGTTCAATTCCCTTTAACTTCCCTTCCCTTCCTTTCCTTCCGAACCTTCACGAACCTTCCCGAACCTTCCCAAACTTCCCGAACCTTCCCTCCCTCCCTTCCCGAACCCGAAAACCTTCCCCTTCCCTTCCCTTCCCGAACCTTCCCTTCCCTTCCCTTCCCGAACCTTCCCTTCCCTTCCCTAACCTTCCCTTCCCTTCCCTAACCTTCCCTAACCTTCCCTAACCTTCCCTAACCTTCCCTAACCTTCCCTTCCCTAACCTTCCCTAACCTTCCCTAACCTTCCCTTCCCTGACCTTCCCTGACCTTCCCTGACCTTCCCTTCCCAAACCTTCCCAAAACTTCCCAAACCTTCCCAAACATTCCCTTCTCAAACTTTCCCTTCCCAAACCTTCCTTTCCCAAACCTTCCAAACCTTCCCTTTCCTTTTCTCTCTATTATTCTTTTCCTAAAAGAGACTTAATGTAATACAGCTTCTTATTCTATCTCAGCTGTGTTTCTACGTTTTCCCTCATTAGGACGACATCCTGTACTCCTTGTACCTGTCCCTGAGAGTTTATGCCATACTTTAACACACACTTTGGGGTAAATGTACAACTGTTTCTCAGACTTCTGGAGTACATATCACGGGCTGCAAATGACATAGGTTGAAAGTGGCAGGTGCTATCAATCTATCTATCATCTATCTATCTATCTATCTATCTATCTATCTATCATCTATCTATCTATCTATCTATCTATCTATCTATCTATCTATCTATCTATCTATCTATCTATCTATCTACCTATCCGAGAAATACTATAACGTTTCACTGTTTTTTCATGATGTCACAGTTTATAGAATTTTAAAAACGTGTATTCTTCTTATAAGAATTATTACATATTTCTTTAACTAGAGCAGCTGAAACTGCATGTAGTATTATGTCTGTGTCGGTCTGTGATTGAAATGATAAATGAGGTTTTTATGTTGTATAATTTTCAGTTATGTAATTCCAGTTTCCTGCAATCTCTCTTCTCACTGTTATGCATTGCTCCCCAAATAATAGGTATTTATGATTGTCACCTCTACACTGTGCCTCCTGTGTTCTACCTGCCCTTCTTGGTTCGATAAAACGCATTCTCATACTCCCTTTGCCCATTTTTTTCTTGTTCTATAAACTCAGTCTTCCCTTTGCTTTCCAAGCTTTTCTTTTTCACACTGATGCTACTCTAGCGTGACCTTAAAGGTGGTGAGAGGTGGGTTAGCTAAACTGTACTCCTGGGCCCCTCAAAGAAAGCAAAAGTATTTGTATCATAGTGATGACTTAGAGACCTAATTTTAACTTCTGAGCTGTGAAGGTCAGAAGGAGGAGGAAACAGTGCTAACAGGAAAGAATGGTTATACATAGGATTCCTTGGCATAGTCTTATCTAAGTATACAGAGAAAAGTTATGGTATCAATACTTTCTTTGAGTGCAAAACACCTAATCAACCTCCTGCTATCATGCAAGGACATTGCTACATCCAAATACATTCTTGTAAGGCTTTAAAAAAATGTTGGTCAATTTTGTTGAGTGTTTATTGCATTCATATTTTCTCCTTACTTCCAGCTGCTGTAGTTGGTTCTATTTTATTTTGGAGAGAGCTTTATGTTCTCTCAGAGCATCTCTTGATAAAAATCAGATAATTCCATTGCTTTCCCAAAGTGTTTTCAGTCTAATTTCAGACATGACACGGTGAAGAGCATAATAAAACTTAGCAGAAAGAGACAGAGAGAAAACGAAAGAGTTCAGTAATAAGAGATTACATGGTTTTCCAGTAGAGTCTAATACACACAGTGGTGAAACAAGTTTAAAATGAAAACACAGTAAAGAACTGCTTTCTTGCTGATATCACTGGGAAAATAAGCACTTCTAAAACTATGGTATTTTTGTACAAATGGATTATTCACAAGCACATCCTACATGATACCAGGAAAATGCCAGGAATAACGAATGGAAAACCTTAAACTCATTTGTCTGTCAGAGCCTTTTTTTTTTTTTAAAGCTGATCATACAGCTCACTAGATGGAAGGCTCTTGCCATGGAAGAGACAATCATTTCTGCAGCTGTGGCAGCTCCACTTGCCACATGTGTTTTTGGGAAAGGGGAAGAAATGCCTGCGAGGGGCTGTTGCTGCAAGGTGCTTGATCCAATCCAACAGGCAATTAGCGACATATTTAGTTTGACCTTTCCTGTGGGCAGCTGCTTGTATCCTAGATTGGATTTGACTACAGGGTACAGCTCCTCATAGAATAAGACCTTCACATGTCTGGTCCTAGGTTAGAAAGCATGAGCATAAAGAAATTTTGTGCTCATGAAGTTTGGGGATGATACTGCAATTAAAAATTAATATTCTCCTCCCCCCCCCAAAATTAGAGCCTCAGAAGAAAAAAACTGAAGTGCTATAAAGCTATTAAAAATTGGTTTTATTATGAATTAAAATGTCTAAAATTAACTTAAATTTCTGTAAGAGAAGCAGTTAACATCCTGGCTACAAACAGAGTGACAGACAAGTTAAAAGAACAGGGCTGTCCACAAAGACTTTCAGCTATGCAACAACACAAGAAAAATGTATTTCCAGCAGCTGGTGTCAGGATTTCTTGTACTATTGCAATAAATAAAACCAGGGGTCTCTTGGGTGTTTAGGGCCCAGGAGATAACAGCAGAGCAGAATAATAATGAGTGCTGCTAACTTCTTTCATCACACAGTAGTTGATAAAAAAAAAAAAAAAAAAAGAAAGAATTATAAAAGGCCCTGGGCAAAATTTGAGCTATGTACTTCGCTGATGAACAGCGCTGTGAGCTGGAGTTGTCTGAGCATGGATTTTTTCTAGTAGAGCTAGGGGTAAATGACTTTGTCATCCATTACACTTTCCCAGCTTTCTTAGATTTCCTCACTGGAAGGAAGCCAGGACGTTATGGGGAGCGGGAGGGTTGTTATGTGCATAGAATGAACAAGAAAATCTCCTGTCTCGGGATAAGCCACGCACTGCATGGAGCTGAAAGACACAAATTCAAGCCTGTTCTCTACCAGTCTCCTGCCTGCAGACAGTAGCCACCAGACTGTAATCCTATGTGTCCCTTTCATATTGTTGCTGTTCTAGTGTAAATATATTCTAGTGTGTAAATACACAGATGGATCACATGAGTATCTCTGAGGACTGCTCTCTCCCTGGCCTATAGGATAACTCATGGAAGGTGTGACTGTTTCTCTCCCTTGGAATTTTCCCCCTTATCACTCACTGATGAGATGGGAAAGTGCCCTGGGTCACACAAAAGGGATGCAGGCTTGAGGCTACACAAGCCTGCCATCCTCCAGGGCTGATCTGACCCTTCAGTCAGAGTTTGACTAATGAGTGGTTTATTCCATATTAAAAGCTGGAGTGAGTGTTGTGTGGAATTAGCTCTGAAATGCATTCAAACTGTGTTAGGGGAAACAGGTGAGAGTCTGTTAACATGAAATCAGATTTAAATTGTGGGTCATTATGCTTAAACCTCACTCCAGTCTAACTAAGCAGTACAAATCTTTTTTTCTCTCTGAGTGATACCCAGCGGTACACAGTTTATGTTTCACGAACCACTAGCCATGTTCTCTATTTAAAAATATAAATAAAGTCTACTCCTCTGAATTCCCTAAAAACTCTGTTAACTATTAAGAAGAGCAAAAAGATTAAATCTGAAAGGTCATTACTCTGCTCCTGCCTTTCTAAAATGCATTGGCTAATGGAAAAAATAAATAACATTTTTAGTGTATAGTTACAGTCCTTCTTTTCTCCCTTTGCATTAATTTTACCCAGATCTGCTACATATTAGTAGATGTATGTATGTTGCAGCTTTAGAATTCTGTTGTTATAATTAAACTGAAAATCTGTGTACTTGGTCAGGCATGCTTAATGTTGTCTATTTATTTCTTCATAGTCTGGACCCATATTCTACTACTGGTACCATTTAATACCCTGTTAAATTTAGCAAAAGCCTAGTAACCTTCCTCAGTTGGCATCACATGCATTCTTTTTTTTTTTTTTTTAATTCTCACCATCCCATGTGGGAGGTTTCTTCTTTATCAGAAAAAGAAAAGAATATTTTTGTAAAGTAAGAATAGAAATTGAATATGTAAAATTGTCCTTAAGCTTCATAAGGAATCATCTCCTGAAACTGAAGTAATTGTGAGTCCACATAACCCAGACTACCTTCATCTAGAAGGTGTGGGGGAAAGAAAGAAAAAGAATACCTGCTTCTGAGCTGGGTAGCCTGGGAGGCAGAATTGTCAGCCAGAGTAAAGGTATTCCAACTCAGAATCTCCAAAGGACACTTCTGGTATTTTTGTACAACAAACATTTACATGTGCAGGATCTTAGCTGACTTACCAGGGCATTCAAATTTTGTTTATGAAATCCATTCTGTCTACAGTACTACATTTTCAAAGCATATTTAAATCACTGGGCTTCACCTGTAGTAGTGGGAGTATGTGGAGTCCTAAAAGACTCCTACACAGACGGCTTTAATCCCACAGGCAGATAGTGGATTAATACATGGGTTATAGGCATTCATCAAATGTTTGGTCTGTCTGACAAATGATGACATCAATCTTGGTGAAAAAGGGATCATGCAATATTCTATATGCAATCAAGTGCTAAATTTAAACAGTGGTGGGACAAAACATTTTTTTCTTTCAAGAAGGGCCATTAATAGCCAAGGACCTGAACCATCAAACTTTTACTTAAATGAACAGTCTTTGCTCATATAGGTTATCTCATTAGGCAACTGCCTTAGTGAAAAAGGGCCTTGTAATACAGGGACTGAGGAATTAGTATCTGAAGGAACAATTTCTCTAATTAACTAAAAAAAAACCCCATGTAGGAAAGTCCATTTTGGGGATTCGCAAATACGTATGCCATCTGCTTCTTAATAAAGTGAATCCAGAGAAAACTGGGAGTTATCAAGGCTGTAATGAGTACAAACATTTTTGTAAAATTCAAAAACTATCCCCTTAAAATAATATCCACTTTCTGGACCCATCTTTCACTCTACACTTTAGGAAAAACCTTATACTTGGAATAATTCTCATACTAATACACAAGACATATTTTCACTATTTGCTAATCCTAAAAGCAAGGAATAATGTGAGTAGCATTTTGAAAGTAATAAGTAAAACATATAAGAATCATTCTGGGCATTTCAGCCCAGTGGTCTGGATGAGCAGGAACAGTGGCAGGAGAGACAGGAAGAAGCAGCTTGGGGAACGAAAAAGGTAAATGGTCAGACGGTAAAGGACAGCAGGTAAAATAAATTCACAAAGGTTTTTAAAATTTATTTAGTGCAATTTAACTTTCAGTAGCTTTGCGTTGCCTCTCCCAACAAGTAAAATCTGAAAACATAGTCATATATTCTAGTGCAATAAATAAGTAGTCCTATCTATTAACTTTTGAAATCATGAATTAGTTTGAAGTTTATTCAATCCACAATTTGGTTATTTCTGGCATAAATAGGGCTAACATCCTAAGATATCTTCATAATTATATTATATCTTCTAATGCTGTTTTCTGTGCAAAAGGCCATTCTTGTGCTGTTGTTTGGTTTTTTTAAAACAAATTATTTCTAATCATCTGGTAACTTCTGAATGATAGTCTCAGATCAGCTGCTGCAACTTCACAAACTCACACATGCTTTGGGATTAGGCAGTATCCTTTTCCCAACTTCAGTTTAGGCTAAAGGATCCAATGGATCCTGGTCAGGGAGAGCAGCACTACTGGTTTATACCTTGCTGCTTCTGGGTGAGATCAGGAGTGTTCTCCAGTGGCACAGGCCATGATGAGTGCCCCCACACCCCTCACCCTCTTTTTCAGCTTCCCGTTCAGCTGCTGCTTTGCAGAGAATAGTGGGAGGAAAGAGGGAATGGCCTGATGATTGATTTGCTGTTTCAGCCTGTGATAGTTGTTTTCTCCACTAAGGCAGCGAGCAGCAAGCACAGAGTACCCATTAACGCAGACCTCAGATGTGCACATTGGAGAAAGGTATGGAGGAAGAAAAGGGTGCAGGCAGAATGTCAGTGGGGATATGGAGATGTGGCTGGTATGCAAGAGGAGGTGTGCATGTGTACAAGGAATGCTGGGCTGAGAATCATAGAATCATATAATAATTTGGGTTGGAAGGGACCTTTAAAGGTTGTCCAATGCATGAGGGAGGTGTCTTTTGGGCAATGACACTGCATATGCACCTGAGGGAGCTGAATGAGAGGAGCAGTGGGCAAATGAGTAGGCAAAAGCTTGTCGCTCTGTTCTGAGCTTCTTTCCTTGCTGTGTAGCACCCCTCTAAAGCAACAGACTGTATTGATTTGGGGAGGTGAAAGACTAATGGAACTCCTGTTGCTCTAGCTTTACAGGAAGTATTAAGTTGGAGTCCCTTTGCAAATGATTGCGACTATCCCAACTGGGTTTAATGTAGTCCATTCCCTGTGGTGTAAATCTTTCACCAGAACAATCACAGTGTCTGGCCAAAGTTCACAAGCTGCACTGCATTTATTAGAGACAAAAACAGTATGGAAGAAATCTGCCTTGAAACAACAAAATGCTTAAATACACGGCTTACCAGCTCCTGCCCACCTCTGCAACAGGTTCTTGGCTATCAGGGTCTGCAGATCTAACAGATTTTTGTTCTTGATTGAAGATTTTTTTCAACTCACATCAGAGCTCATCTGATTTTCCTCCAGTTTTTTCAGGTGGCTTCAGGCCACCAGCAAGGATGGACACTTTCTATTCTTCCTTAAAGTCCTGTTACGTCAGAGCTTCATAGCAACTCTGCTCCCAGAACCTGGGGTTAGTCTAGAGCACACCACATAGGACCGATGGAACTTCCTGGCCATCAGATCTTGTCCCATATTGCAAACACTACCACATCAGTTTGCTCTTTCTGGAAATGTGAAGAGCTCCATCCTAACGGTAATTATTGTTTCTGTCCTGTTACCTCTACTGAAAGTACTTTTCAAATAATACATTTTCTTATGTTTAAAAATCATCTCATTTTTAGCTTAAATGTATCAATGGGCAGCTCATACCCATGTGCTTTTGAAGAAAATGTCCGTGATGCACTTAGCCGCGGTAAGGCAAGTTTTCACACATGTTCCCAACAAGAGCCCCTGGCACTGCTTCGCTCCCACGGATTCACACCAGCCTCACCGGGAAAGGACGGGTGCTCTGGCTGTGCGAAGGGACGGGGTTTCGGTACGGATGGGAGCTCGGCATTCGGGGTGTGATACTGCTGCGAATGTGGGTTGTGGGTGGATGCACAGGGTAGCCGGGAAGTGAAGGCACCGGGGTAGCCGCGGCTGACTTGGGGTGGGCGCTCCGGCCGTGCCGTGGATGGGGACACGGGACAAGGGGCTGGCTGCGGTCGGTGGGTATGGCAGTACGTCTGGGTGTTTTGGGGAAGGCAATATGGGCCGCTCTCAGCGTCAGGGCATGCAAAGATCGTGGGGGGCAGAGGTGGGCAGAGAGGGATGGTGGGGGGCTGGACTGCCGTGAGGACCGGGGCGACGAGCGGGGCCGGCTGCGCTTGCGGCAGCGCAGGGACACGGAGGGTGCGGGCAGCAGCGGCGGCCCCGTGGTGGTGGAGGGGTGGCGGTGCCTGCGTGCCCGTGGGGGCGCCGGTGCCCGGCGGGAGGGCCGGGCGGTGCCGCGGGCGCGGGGCCGTGCGGGGCGGCGGCCGGCGGGCCGGGCCGCCTGACGTCACGGCCGGGGCGGCTGCAGCTGCGGGCGGCGCTCCCGAGGCGGCGGCGGCGGCTCCGCTCCTGCGCTCACTCCGCGCTGCCGCAGCCCCTGCGCCCGCGCGCTCCCTCGCCGCGCAGGTAAGGGGGGGCTCCGGGGCGGGCACCGGCACCGGCACCGCGGGACAGGACCCGCTCGGCTCTGGCAGCCTGTCCCCGCCGCGGCGCGGGGCTCTGGCCGCCGCTCCCTCGCTCCCTTACCGCGGGCAACTAGTTGGGGGAGCGGTCGGGCGGGGCTGCCCGGGATGCCGAGGATTCGCGAAGTGGGAGCGGCGGCGCGGTGCCCCGTCCCCGTGCCGTCCCGTCCCGTCCCCCTGCCCCGCGACCTAGCGGGGAGCCGGGTCCGCCCGGAGCGGGGCCGTGGCGGGGCGCAGGGCGGAGGCTGCCGCAGCCGGGTTTGGGGCGGGGAGAGCTGCCCAGGGTGGGTGCCACGGGACGCTGATGTGTCCGGCTCTCGTTGCAGGCTGCTCGAGTACTTCAGAGCGAGCGGGAGGCTGAGCCGGCAGCATCCCGGGCATTTCCAGCGAGCGCCCGCCAGCAGCCCGGCACGGCAGTGACTGAAATTTAGGCGTCTTCAGAGAGGGGAGGAAGATCCTCATCTTCCGTAGCCTCCTCAATGAGTGCCAAGCTCTCCAAGGACTTGAGGCTGTCCCTGCCGCCTTGTCTTCTGAACAGGACATCCACCACCTTAAATACCAGCACCACCTGCATCACCCAAGTGGGTCAGCTCTTCCAGTCCTTCTCATCCACCCTGGTTTTAATTGTCCTAGTCACCCTCATCTTCTGCCTGATCCTCCTCTCCCTCACCACCTTCCACATCCACAAGAGGAAGATGAAGAAACGGAAAATGCAAAAGGCTCAGGAGGAGTATGAACGGGACCACTGTGCCCGCAGCAGCAATAGCAGCAGCCAGCACCCTGGGACAGTGGTGCAGGGAGAGGCAGCCCAAGGAAGAGACAGCCGACTGGGAAGACCCCCCCAGGACTTGGAGATTCAGCGCTCCTCTTCCTCAGCAGCCCCCGGCTCTCAGCAAGCACAGGTTTGTTTGGACACAGCTGGTGCAGGGCTCCTGCAGACGGAGATTTTATCATGATGGTTTGGGGGAGACCTCGCGAAGGCTCTGATTGGTGTTTGTAAATACCTGAGTGATTATTCTAGTCCCTGAAGAAGAGGAAAATATTGCTAATTCAAATGAACGAACAAGCCCATGATCCAAGTGCATGACAGATCACATTGAGTTTCTCATTGACTGTGTGAGGAAAGGATGCATCTTTTAACTGGAGAAGGAGCTGCACACAACTACTAAATATCGAGTCATCCACCTGCAGGAGAGGGTCAGGGGTAGGGTGTCCCTTTTCCCTGGACATTATTACCCCAAGGACTGGGATGTTCCTGCTCTTGGGATTCCCGCTGCACCCTGTGTCACCATTGCATGGTGTTGGTTGGGATGTGGGTGAGTGGTGTGGGGGGACAGGCAGGTCTAGTGGGTGCCTTCGGACCCTCCTGTCCCCTCGGAGCAGACTGGAAGTACACTGTGGTCTCTCCTTTTGTGCTGGGATCTATGCCCCTGTCCCGCCCCTCTCCTTTGCAGGACTGGATATTATTTTGTGTTGAAATGGCTACCCCTAGTTGGGCTTAACTGCAAACACTCTCTGGCCCCACATCCTTGTGCCCCCAGCTGCAACACTGATTGACCCACTATCTGGGGGATGGGATGGAGTCAGCTGTCTGCATAGAGTGATGCTTGAGCTTTCTGCTCCCTTCAGCTCCATTCATCTTCAAATACCTCCCCTTCCCCATTCCTATCTGCATCCCGTGAAACCCGAATGCCATGAAACCTGAAACCCAAACCCACTCTCATTCTGCGTGGAAGGGAGAGGTAATGTGCAGTAACTTGCCTGTCCTCTCCCAGAGGAGGTTGTCTTTGTACCTCCTCTTGGTCCTGAAACAATCCAGTTCTGCACCAGGCACCCTGCACTGAATGCCTGCGTTTACAGCCTTGCCTCCCAGTAAGGAATCCTGCAGCAGTACCCATCTTGCTTCTACTTTTTTAGGCTGATGTGTATTTTTAAGCCTAATCTTGTAGACAGTTAAGGACAGACAACACTTAATTTTCTTCTGTTTTCCCTCTTAGGGAACAAATCATGCAGTTGTGCAAAAATGTCCACTCCTAAACCCTGGTAAATATTTATTTTAGAAGTGGCTGGTGTAGTTTATCCCTAGCAGGCATTGAGAGTTTTTTTGTCTGTGGATGGTGGGTGTGAGTGGCTGCTGGTACTGTGTGTGTCGGAGGTAGCAGTGTCAATTACAGAAAATGCGGCTTTAGTGATTAAATCAGTGACCATTACTTGAAGGTGCCTTAACAGAGTGCCATATCCAAACTTTGAAACGTTGAGTGTGGTATCGTAGCAGAGGCAGCCCTCTACTGTGCATACTAGCATCTAAAATTACAGCAAAGAAAAAGTGAGCCTGAGAAATTGAATCTTTTTTTTTTTTTTCCTTCTGTCCCAGCACTAAAAGTGATTTGAGGAGATAGTAATAGTCCACAGAATTTTCTGTATCCTTTGTATTTCTTCTGTGCTGTGCTCTGCCTCCCAGGGTGGCTGACTAGGAAAAGCCCAGACACATGGACCAGGAGGTCTGGGGCCCTAATCTGGGAGCGAATGCCATTAACTAATTTAAAACAGGGAAAGCGAATGGCAGAAGTGCTCCATAATCCTCTAATAGCCCCAAAATGCAGAGTTTTTGGGGCAGTGTTTCTGTTACCGAGTTTTATCCCTTTCCGATCTTTCCCGGTCTGATGGAAAATTGCTGTTGAGTTTGGATCCATGCCTCCAGTGCTTTAGACAAGTACTGCGTCATCCAGCTCAAGGTGCTGCTCCACCCTCTGAGGTTAGTGTGGTGAGCATACCGTATCTGTGACCAAGTGGTGTTTGCCAGTGCTGTTTGATGGGAGTCATGGCTGACTCTTGCTGCCAGTTGATGGGATCAGATGCTAATGGCTACTTCACTGTTGCTGGGCGAGGAAATTGGCTTTGTTTTGTTTCCCCTAATAAAGGATGCATGAACTTTTGTGTTTAACCTCCTTATGCAACTGCAGCACAATATTGCACCACAGGGAATAGATTTAGGACAATGAAGAGTGTTCAGTGAACAGTAATGGAACTCCTTGACCGTTGATCTCCACTAAATAGAGAGATATTACTTTCCCCTTTATTTTGTGCCTTTAAAAAAAATCCCCACAAACCAACAGTGTATAATTTCGAATTTTATAAAAGCAATAAGATGTTCCAAATCACTCCAGTGCATTTCTGGTTGATGATTCCACTTCTTTAGTGTCTGAACTCAGATATTCTTCCCTCTGCCTTATGCACTCAAGGCATGCAATAATTTCCCAGAAGTGTACTGCTTGTCACATCTCATTGCATTTATAAAATTGCCCTATTTTTGAAGAAAAAAAGAAGGATGGAGAGATAGATATATATATCTTTATATATATATTATGGATATACAGGTATATGTATTGTTTATATAATCTCATGACACTAAAAGTAGTTGCAAAAGTGTGACTAAAGTTAGAACGTTACCATGTAAAACTCTATCCTGTTAATTAGCTTTGATTTAATATTTTAATATCTCTGTATTTATGTAAATCTGTGTAAATTATATGCTCTATTAGTAAAATTTCATACTGACTTTAATTTTTGCAGAACTGTGAGCTTCTTGTGGTGTCATTTAAGGTTTTTTATTTCTGAAGTTAAATTAGACAAGATATGAAAAGTTATAACTTCCTATTATCACACAGAATTACTGCAATAAGGTTCATGTGTACTCCAAATACACAGTCCTATCTTGAGGTATTGCAGGCTTATGAGGTTTAATTGAATGGTCTCAGGAGATCTAGCTGATACAAGCAGGACACGTAGGTTTTCATTTTCATGAAACAATAAGCAACCTGGGGAATAGATGTGAATTTTTAAAACAGAGTTTATGCTTGGAGGTTCTGTCAAATCAATTGCTTCAAAGCCCTACAGCTACAGCTAAACTCCTGCACTTAGCATTCAGTATTAATAAGGCTGATGCTTCTTTCCCCTCCCCCTCCTACTTAAACTAGAAAAGAGTAGAAAATTGTTCATATTTCTAAAGCATACATTTTCAGCTAACTGTGAAACTGCCCAAAGGGTTTTGAAAATACGTATTTTATGCAAGTGTAATATCTATGTATCTGTATCCATATATTTAAATATTTTTGTGTAACCTTTTCTACGATATTTGATAGAGATGCTGGGTAAATGCTTGTACCATTCTCAAACGTGAGGAAGGATTTATACCCTCTTGATGCGGACATTCTTTTTCCTGTGAATTTGCACTGGTTTCGACAAGTGACGGTGATGACTGGGCAGCTGAGTGCTGACTGCTGGAAGCACAGACAGTCTTTCCTCCCTCTGTTAAGGAGCACATCCTCCAGCTGGATTTTCCTGGTTCTGAATTGGAACTGGTTGCCCACTAGCATCCTGCATGTGTAAGAATAAGAAGTGCTGTGGTGCTCAACAGTTCCTGTCTGGTCCAGCTGTCATTTTGTGGAAGAAGCACGACAGCAGTGAGTTGTTTTGTAGAGCCTAGTGAGAATAGAGCTGATGGGCAATGTGGTGGCCATGCTGGGTCTGGATTGGAGAATCAGCAATGCCTTGTCCTGCGCTCCTGTCCTCAGAGCCTGCTGCTGCCCTGGGGATTTGTACAGCTCCTGCTGGCATCAGCAGGAGTGGCTTGCACTGACTGCCAAGGAACTGGGATCCCATCTGTAGTCCACATGGAGAGTGACAGCTCTCTACACCACCGCCACTGACCCTGCTCTGCACCTGTCTTAGC